ATTTATAGTAGATTACAATACAGTGTTACATGAAATGTCTAGAATGCTCCTGATTAGTGATGGGACACCCAGACTGCTTAAAACACTAAACAGACTTAGGCCCAATAACAAAGGCCCAGTACCTAACAGCTTAAAACCCAATACAAACTAACATGTACACCTATCAGCCGAACCAACAATACATAAAAACAGTCAACTTAACATCTTCAACTTTACAGCTTGCTGATCTCTTCACAAAAGCCATCATGTACTCACCACCAGTTTCTAGATGACAAACTGATGCTTATACCTCGGCATCAGTTTGAGGGTTAGTGTAGAGCCTGATTTGTGTTGTATACACTTTCTTTCCTTTTTTTTGGCTCTTGGGAGCACCTCTTTATGTTGCATCATATATACAATATTATATTTCTCTTTATTCTTTCTTGTGAAGGACATAGTTGTCCTTTCTCAGTCTTGTACAGAATTCACATATAAGATAATTTCTTTGGGTGTGTGACACACTGAACACACCCTTTCATTCTGGTTTTCCCTCTTGCTTGAACTGTGTTAACAGGGAAACCCAATTTCTCCAACAGTCAAAACTTTTGCTTGGTTGGTGGCTTTGAAAGGCTTTCAGCTTGCTAGAAGGTGCTATTTATGTGAATCTGAAATTGAAGATGTTCTGTATCTATGTCATGGATGTGGTTCCACAAGGTTCATTTGGGTTTCTTCTCTAGGCTCTTCAAAGTTGCTATTTGGGTTCCCATTTTGCGAAAGAAATTTCCTTTTGGCCTGTATCGCAAGGAAGCAAGAAGTCTAAGATTTTATAGAGATATGTTCCATTTGCAGTTTGTTGCAAGTGGAAAAAAAAGGAATTAGCAAATATTTGAAGGCAAATCAAGAATTAAGGAAAAATTATGTTTGGGAATTGGAAATAAATTGATAGATTTGATTCTGCTTTTACCAGAATTTTCAGATGCTTCAAAGAGTCTTTTGGGTCAAGCATTTAGTCATATCTTGAGTTAGAAGATGGGGTGTGATGTTTTGTTTTGTTTCCTTTTCTTCACTTTGGGTGATTCCTCATCACCTGCTTTGTTGTACTTTCTTTTCAAGTTTGATATTTATTATCAAAAAAAAAGAATCTAGGTCATTTTCAGTTATTAAATGACCCTACTAGCAGCAGAGTTCCAAATGACACTCTGAAGCATCTGATTTACAAATTACATGAATTTGTTCTTTTCCGGAATGATTAGCTTTTATTCAGTTTTGTAACTGGATCATTGCATTTGACATATCTATTTTGAATCTTTAGGGGCTCCACAAGGAAAACTTACTTCAACATCATGGAATTTTATAAGAAATATATCCATGGGTAAATGACCTTGATCTTTACATTAATACTGTGTAATACCTCTCCAATTCTTATTAGATGCTTTTCTTTTCATCTAGATATTAGGCCATATCCGAAGGTTTTGTTGACACATATCCCTTTGTATCGATCTGATTGGACTCCATGTGGCATTCACCGTTCTTCCCCAATTATTAACCAGGTAAAGTGCTACAGTTCTCTTAGTCTTGTTATGTTTTCTATTCTGGTCTTCTTTTTAGGTGAGATTTTCTGTTCATCAACATATTTTCAAGTTATCCTTGTGAAGGGAGGTTTGGTAAAATCATTCTTATTTATGGTTACTTTTTCTGTGTTGTCAATGTGCTAAGGGGATGAGTTGGATGACTAATTGTTTTAGCCTCCTTAACCAATGCAGTGCTGATATCTAGGCACTGACTAGCAGCCACAAAAAGATTTCTAAATGTAAGATAACGATGTAATCTTATATATAATTTAAATGCAGTGGTAGATTTATGGATGGATGCTTTAGAAACAAGAGATTTTAATATTTTTTGAAGATAAATAAAGAAAAAAATTGTTGCTAAAGATAAAAGCAATTACAACTTAAATAGGTCACAAGAGGTCACCCCCATCAAAAAAGGGAAAACAAAAAGCAGACTTCAAAGTAACAAACACAAATACACCAAGACTTTTTAAGAATTCAGAGTACACCAAAAATGAACCCCAAAGTCTTCGTTCTTTAGACCTTGAAATTTTGGCAGTATCAACACCCATCCTCCAATCACTGAAGAACTGCTTAATGCCACCACCTCTTCCATCCTTTTCTTCTTATTCTCGAAAATCCTTCTGTTTCTTTACTTCCATAATTCCCAGCAAACAGCAAAGAGAATGCAACTCCACAGAAGTTTGATCTTAGGACCACCCTGTATTCTTGGCCAGCACCCAAAATTTTCAGACTGATCTGAAATTGATCACATGTCCACTTTAAACAGCTTGGAAAAATAGGACCAAATTGGGTTTATAAAGCTGCATTGGTTCAACAGAGGAATAATATTTTCCTCTCTGGCCAGACATAGTACAAATCTTCTTGGAAATTGAAAACATCTATCCTTTAAAATGTCCTGTGTTAATATGCATCCTCTGGCTATCAGCCATGCAAAGGCTTCCACCCTTGGGGGCACTGGTCCCCCCACACTCCCCTAATTGAATCAGCCTTCACCTGATTTCTGATCAATATGGAGTACACTGACTTGGCTGTGAACTTGCTATCCTTGCGTTCTTTCCACCACCTGATGTCTGCAGCTGAGGGATTGATTTTCATTGATTGTAATTTTGACAGCAGTTCCAAACACTCCTCCATCTCCTAGTTGAAAAGAGGCCTTCTAAAATTTTGAGTCCAAACCACGGATCCATTAATTATTCCATAACAATCAGCAGCCGAAGAAGAAGAAGAAGAAGATTTGAGAAAGGCGGCATGCCTACTTCAGCCGGCCCTACAATCTTATATAGATTATTATAAAATAATATTACATGAATGGACTAGAATGCCCCTGATTAGTGATGGGACACCTAGACAAATAAAACAAATAAAGCATTAAACAAGTTTAGGCCCAATAACTAAGAACTTAAGACACAAATATGACTAACATAAACACTAAAACAGCCGAACCAACACT